CCCCCCCCCGCTTTAAACAAATCAACACCCAAGATAACCTATTTCATTGTTTTATGCTTATTTTATATGAAAATTATTGTTTCAAATTTAATTTTTGAATCTGTTTTTTTTTTCATGTTATAAAAGGGGCCAACCAATAGCAAATTACCAAACAAATAATTACCCCCCCCCCCGAAGAAAAACTTACACATACATGATATAGAAGGGTTTAAAACAGAAGAAAAAAAGAAAAAAAATAAGTACACGTTTTTTGTTCTAGTATCTAGTAGTATCAGTCGACTCCTTATATCATTATATTATCGATTTTCATTTCATCATCGGTATTTCATAAATGTTTTACAAATCAGTGTTTTTATCATTATTAGAGGTGGTCTTGATTTTTTTTTATTTATAATAAAATAAAACAGTTATTTCAGTGGCAGTTAGTCAAACGATATATGAAGGTGGGGTATCAAATAAATAGAGTATATGCCTCAGTTCAAATACACTAGAGAAGATCTTCTCAAGTGTCTTAGCTTTGTCCCATCGTTTACCACGCCCTCTTGTAGCGACTAGTAATTAGGCCGTCCTCGTTTTTAGGTCCACGGGAAAAGCACAATCTTATACATATCTTGCTCGTGAGAAATATCATAGATACTTAATCATCTTCTATCGTTTGGGCTTTTATGTACAGGTTCATTTAACCAAACCATTGCCCCAGATGCTGGATGGTTACTGGTTACATTAAACTGTATTTAATTATAATACTGGTCACTTAACATGTAAATTGCATTGGGAGTACCCAAGGTGGTCTGTATATAAACATTATTACTAACATGTGTTTTGTGTGTATTGCGATTTTTTCATAGATTTGTCGTTGTTTTTATTATTATTTTATAATTATTCCTCTGTTTTTCTTCAATTGTGTTATATTTCATTTACAATCGTGGTATGACCACATACTGATTATTTACATCTAAGCAAAACATGCAGCGGCTTAGATCCATGAAGAGACGCCCGAAGAACCAGATCTTTGGGGAGCGGTCTGAAAACAGAAGAAAACAGCCCGAATAAATCGCTGAAAAATGCAGATGTCTGGCGGATATTCAGACTATTATGAACTGACTGGAACTGAGTAATTTATATATTCTGATTCACGATAAAATATAAGTTGACGGTGTCATATAATGCCTCCATTGATGGGTATCAATGTCCTGTCCTAAAATTTGTAAATTGGAGCTTAATAAATTTGTCAAATGATTGAAACAATTTCATAAATTGCATTTATTTGTGATAATATATCGATATTTCTAAGGTTGCATAATACTAAGAGGAGAGGCTAGCTGGTACAGGTTACAGAAAATAAAAAAAATGCATTTTACGTTTTTACAGGAAATAAAAAGGAAAGTTCCATTTACAGTAAAAAATAGTTTAGACACTTTACAGATAAAGCAAATTTCTAATTACATTTTACTAGTATACGCTTACAAAAAATAAGATCTTCGTACAAATTACGGACGAATAAAATAGCTTATTACATTTTACATCTATGTCTACGAATTTACGTTTTTAATTTACTTAAGAATTACATTATTACGAAAATAAAAACAATTGTTTACAGCTTACGAAAATACCCCCTTGTCGTCCCTCTACTAAGAATACGGTGACATCGAAACACCATCGCCATTTTATCGCTTCTGTGACATCAAAATGACGTAATGGGTGACACCAATGTCGTTCCAATCGAACGAACTGTGTACGGTCAAAATTAATAGACGACTACAAATCAAAACAATATGGACGCTTTAAACGGCCTCCATGCCACGTCATAGAAGCGCTTTGTCACTAGAGGGCGCGACTTAGAGTATTAAGAGTAACTTTACGTGTGAATGTCTCGGGCTCAAAACCAGGGGCGGATGCAGGATATTCAGGGGCATCTTACCATAGCCGCTTTGCAATATAGAAGATAACCACGGTTTTAGGGACGCGCGCCCTCTACCCCTTTCTAATTCCGCCAATAAAAACATTGGTATTTTTAGTTAAATATATTTTGTATCAGCGCTATGACTTTAAAATCAATTGCATTCCCAATGATTATAAATATTATTGTAATTTTTTCCAAGTAATAGTTGTTTTACTTTGTTTACTATCGTGAAAAAAAATCTGCCGGAGTGACATTAGTTGCTTAAAGGGTTCGGCAATGAGAATGCATGACTGGCAGGTACTTTGAATGTCATCGATCTGCCGGATTTAATTGCTTTGTTTATTTCTTGTTTATCTGTTCCACATTTATTTCGGGTACCCACTCTGCGTTACGGCGTATGATAAAGCATACGTAACGCGAATATGTCCGCATGATGGCGCACTCACACTTGAGTTCTAAATATGTACCGGTAGCAAAATGGCGACGCACAGTAACGAGAAGATGATTTTGAGGGTAAGGGGAATATTTTACGTTTCGATCTTTGCACAGAACATGTGTTGTGTTGTTCCGTATTACAGGAGCATCGAAGGCGGTAGCTGCAATTCGGTAGCTCCAGATTGTGGCAGACGTTCTACGCTCTCTATGCGAGACCTTACCGGCTTTATTTTGTCCAAGCTCTTTCTGGGTAAACTTGCTGCCCATGTCGACAAGCCACGGACAAGAAAGTGAAAATATAAGATCTAATATGGAACTATAAACCCCTGCTACGAAGACGGAGACATTAGCGTTCAGTCATACTATTTCGATCGTTAATTAGAACCACAGTCTCTCTATCATGATAGAGGGACTGTGTTAAAACACACACTAGTACCGGTAGTTTCCTCAATTGTAGGTCTCACACCACTAAATAAATTGTAATGCTTAGGTAAATTCCTACAAAAGAGGGACTGAGAAAAAATGTATTAGTAATCAAGTTATCATCAGAAAAAAAAAAACAGGAAAATATTCAATTTAGATTTACACAAATTATATTTTTACAAGTATTTAAGCCGAGGTACTAGTAAGTGTGTGTTGCCCATTTGTAAACAATTTTTAAATCCTAATAGTCGAAACATTAGATTGTTGTCAGTCCCTTAGACCTAATTAGTAATAATAATAATAATACACCTGCACATTTTTATGGACTGTGGCATGAAAAAAAAAAAAAACTAAGCCAGACTGGGACAGTTGACTGTCAGAATATGAATGTTTATTTGCATGTTGTTGTTGCTGCTGATCACAAATTTTCTTATTTTATATAAATTGTGACTTAATCAAATAATCTGTCCTTGACCAGAATAGACTACTACATTAAGAAAATGTATAATTATCATGGAAAACATATTCTTATTATTATTTTATTTTTATTTTAACAGATACTGTGTATACATGGATATCGGTAAGTTAATCCATATACAGCGGGTAGTTTGAAAATATTACAAAACTGATAAATATGAATATTGAACTGAAAGTAATTGTAAATAGTCCTTATGCATGGTTCCAAGAAATATAGCAAGTATCCTCTGTTTTAAATTCACGAATTACCAGTAGTATAGTTCTTCAAATGACAGTTTATCTATAGGACTAATTTATTTGATCTGTCAGTTGTGCACTCAAAGCAAAAATTGCACTAGTTTGCTACTAGTAAATTGAAACATATCTTATTTTGAGCAAATATGATATCTTTATATCAGTAATAATAACAATAATACTTAACTTTATTACACTACTAAAAACCTTCAGAGGGTTTTTGTTTGGTAAGGAACATAAATACAAAGAAATACAAAAAAGTGTCAACATTACTAAAACTTTTTACTGGGTAGTTGGGCTATATTTCCAAGTTCAGTTCAGTGTCGTTGATATCTCTGGCCAAGATTTTGTTGGACTGTGTACATGAAAACACCACAGAGCTGAATGTAGAACTGCCCGCAAAATACATCTATGGCATCAAACTGCAAATTTCAACTGACTGTCAACAGTTCTTTTGGCCTACCGGAGTAGTGTTTTTTTTCAACTAAAATGATTCAATGTAATGTGTTTGCAAAATGGTGAAGGCATTTCAAGTGATGGTCTGTATTTGATTAAATCATTTTAGCTAATATACCTACCCAGAAGGGACTATTGACAGTCTACAACTTTCACTGAAGGGATCATTATTATGCAATAGAAGTGAATTGAATTTGTTATAATAATAAAGAGAAACATATTTTTATTTATACCATTATTGTAGTAGTACAATGTAGTCACTAAATGTCACATCAGATACAGGTCTTCTTTGACACAATAATTATCCAGTATCACTTAGTTTTATTTTTCATCCCAGGCAGAATGGTCAAATATTCCATGAAAGAACAGGATCTTTTAGAAAGATTTTGAAAAAACATGCTGAACTGAGTTAAGTATTGAAATTATTGCACATACTCATCACAATGCTTTTAAACATACATACTATATACTAGATACATGCACAGTCTGTGTTTTACCAATTCTAGACACTTTTTTTTTAAAGAGGGGGGGCTAGGGTTATTTTCGTTCAACGTAATTGCAATTTTTTTTTGTTCGTATAACTTAATTGAAAAAATAAATTCCATAATTCTGTAATCACAGGCTAGACGTACAACGTCATCAATCAAATATTTTTTTCGTACACTGTAAAAATGTCTCATTTTTCTCGGTATGTACAAGAATTTTCTAGGTTTTCTTTCTTAATTTTCCGTAAAATGTAAAATAACCTTTATTTCTTCTGTAAACTGTAAACATTCAATTTTCACTGTAAACTGTAAAAACGTCTTTTTTTTTTTGTAAATTGTAAAAAGCCCTTTTTATTTCCCGTAAAACTGTACCAGCTGCCCCCCTTGCCCCCCCTTCTTAAACGTTCTCTTTGAAATCCATAAAACTTATTAATCTGTGAACTATGGTATAAAAATTATAATGTTTCATATTTTAAATTCTGTTTAGTCTACATCACAGCACCTAATATTGTACCGTCAATAAGAGTGGAAGGTGAGGATGACCCATCTGATGCCACCAACAGTCAAGGTATGTAGGAGTTTTAAACAAACATGTACTAGACTATGCTAGGAACAAATTCTTTGATTTACAAACCAAACTTTTTTTATATAAGATTATATACATTTCAGTGAAGTTTTCAAATTTTAAAGTTACATGGTGACATGTAATTCAATGGATATTCAGTCGTCGAAGCTACGTACAAAGCTACGTACGTCACACAACATTCTATGTCGCTTGGACGTGTACCACTGTACCATGTGTGACTATGGGCTCTGTGCGAGCTGCTGTGGAGTACCAGTTAAAAAGCTAAACTTTGTGGAAATCCTGAAAAACCAAATTTATATATGTTTTGCACATGTATGTCTTGTTACAGAGGAGTCTCAGCAACTATCCTAAAGTACAGTTTTCTGAGAGTTTTCACCCTTTGTTCTCACTGGTGTTGGTTGCCAGGTGGTGAAAATGCCTGGATGTACAATCTCTGAGAATAACTTGCTCTAAAACTCTAAATCTTTATCCCAACTCATAATCATAACAACAGTTGAATATTTGTCTTCAGATCAAAGAGGATGGTGGTTTTCCCGAAAATCTAATTATTATGATGCTGCAGATAAAACAAGTGTCTCTGATGGTTTTCAGGAATCGTTGGCGTTCCTAGAGATGATATTTAAAGAACAAGGACCATTTGATGGTATGTATGTTTTCAATTTAATTGTGAATTAATAGAAAGACATAACACAGTGACGGCTTGGATGAAATAAATATGGAAGGGGGTGCTTTCTCAAGATGTCAATCACGGATTTGTGTGACATATGTCAAAAGACCATTGTTTTTGCAGCCTGTCCCGCAGGCTGAATCTTGATCAATCGTTCACACATAATAGAATCACATATTGCCTAAATTTTATTTCAATTAAAGTACATGTAATAGAAAATTATCCTTGTGAACAAAAACATTGAATATTCTCAACTAATTTGTAAATGAAGATACATTTTTAAAAAAAAAAAGTCTAGTTTAATAGTTCCAGTGTGTTTGTATTACAGGTGTTGTTGGTTTCAGTCAAGGTGCTTCGTTTGTCAGTTTGTTGTGCTCCATTGGAGATCAGCCTGGTAAGAATAATTTGTCTTCATCATAACAATTATGAGCTACTGTAAAATCTGTATTGGAAGCTGCAACTTCTATTATAAAAAAATGTTTATTCTAATCAAGGGATGTGGGTTTTATTAAAGAATCTACACATATCACAAATGGTGAATTTTTGGTTTGCAATTGTTCAAAAAGAATGGGTGCGCCTTCTATTAGGGATGCAGCTTCTATTACAAATTTTATGTTACTGGTATTAACCGTTTCTCAGGTGCGCCTGAGTCGATTTTATTCTGACTTGGTAATCACATCTTTCATGGTGGTTTACTGATGCATGTAATGTTGTTGCGCGACTTGTAGCCATTATTGTCTCCAACTGTCTTAGGTATGCCTGGACCAATTTTATTCAAACTTGTTTTTTTCATTTTGTTTTGTTGTTCAGAATGTTGAACTGGCAGCCATGTTAATGTTATTTATATGTGTCATTAACTCGAATGTGTCTTGACAGATTTTGTTCAAAGTCTGGAATTCCAGACCATACACAATATGTTGCGATGCAAAATGTAATAGGTTGCCATAGTTACATCTTTACTATTTTGCAAATTTATTTCAGACTCTCCTTTCCAGTTTGATTTTGCTATATTGATTGCTGGTTTCAAAAGTTTATTATCACCACATAGTAAATACTATGATGAACCAATCACATGTCCTAGTTTACATGTATATGGTGATACAGATAAAGTGATTCCTAAAGGTGAGATTTCATTGGACTACTCATGTCATGTGACTGATACATGTATTGATTATTATCAAATTAAACTCAATTGTAGCATTTAGTTAGATTGATACATGCACCCAGTTTGATTTACAAATATTATAATTTCACTAACTTTCACAAATATTGCTAGTCATGGAGAATTTTTTGAAGTTTTGTAACAATCATCTACTCAATATATGGTAAATATATATATATATACACACAAACAGGGAGTCATAGTAGTTTCACTGGGGTACCAGGGTGTCACAGTGATGTTCAATCATGTCCTAGGGAGTCACAGTGACTTTCGCTGTTATCCTAGGGTGTCACAGTGACTTTCACCAAGGTATTTGGGAGTCACAGTGACTTTCACTGGGGTCCTAAGGAGTCACAGTGACTTTCACTTGGGTTCTAGGGAGTCACAGTGACTTTTACTGGGATACTAGGGGGTCACAATGACTTTCACTTGGGTTCTAGGCAGTCACAGTGACTTTCACTGGGGTTCTAAGGAGTCACAATGACTTTCACTTAGGTTCTAGGGAGTCACAGTAACTTTCACTTAGGTTCTAGGGAGTCACAGCGACTTTCACTGGGGGTCCTAATGAGTTATAGTAACTTTCACTAGGGTCCTACGAAGTCACAGTGACTATAATAAAATTTCATCATTAAGAATGCCCTTAAATCATTAAATTGCAAAAAAAAGGTTTTCATTGTCGTCATGAGAAAACACAGTTTCATTATTTTTTTTTTTTAGAGTCCAGTGTACAGCTTCTGAAATACTTTGTTAATCCACAGACCCTAAATCATACAGGAGGTATTGTATATGTTTTATTTGACAATAAACCTAAAATCTGTGTCTAAGGTCCATGATTTGGCTCAATGATTTATAAGATAGGGTATTTCATCTTTGATATCCATGTTCCACAAGTTTTTTGCATGTTTCAAATTTATTTCTGACCAGTGGTGTCGCAAAATGTAATGGATGCTTGTGAGTAAGGTTATCGTCATATTCAAGAAAGAAAAAAAAAAACATGATGTATCGGTACCGTACATGCTCCGAATATAACGCAAAGATTATAGGCACCAAGACCCATACAAAGCCTATTCATCATTTGCATTAGTATTCTTAGAAACGTCTTCAGGGAATATCATTACAGTTTGTTTGATAGCCCAGACAACTGAATAATAACCCACTTTCCTTAACATTTTCACCACCAGACTTTCTAATTTTGGAGCTAACAGACAAAATTTAAGTCAATTTTCAGTTTTTATTTTAATTTGGCTATTTTTGTCCCAATCTTCTGAAGGAAAGTACAGACTATTTTGGGAAATTGTAATAAAAAGTAGGAGCTAGTGGTGAAAAGGTTAATAGACTTTAGTAAATATATAGGTAACATGCATTTGAGTAAAGTTGTAATCTTGTGATCATTTTGAACTTTGTGCGACTTTGAATGGCAACGTGAATACACCATTTGTATTGTTGACCTTGTAATTTCTTGACATCATTCATATAAAATAACCTCTCTTGTAAAAAAATTTTGTTAATATTGCAAAATATAAAACCTAGAATAAAAGGTTATGTATAAAGACACTCAAGTCAATGACATACATCTAGTTTTAATAAATTCTTATTAATTATAATATTTATACTAAAATGTATGTTTATGGTATGCTTCACTTCACCTTTGTATGTAAACAAACAAACAAATACATAGGAAGCGTTGTTGCATATTAAAATGGTTAATAATTATAACATAAAGTAGAAATTTTTACTATTATTCCATTTGTGTGATTCAAGTTTAGTAACACTAATATAAATTGTCTATTTTCAGGTCATTTTGTTCCTGCATCATCACCTCAGAAAAAAGTATATCTTGAATTCTTGCAGTCATTTCTAGATAAGAAAAAAGAACAGACTAAAGGCCAGCAATGTTGATAGAAATAAATTAGAGGTCATTATGCACAATTGGAAGTCAATGTGTTCAATTGGAGGTCATTATGCACAATTGGAGGTCAATATGTACAATTGGAGGGCAATATCCACAAGAGCAATATCAAACGACTGACAGGTGATATACACATCATCACAGGGCTGACTATCTGGACCTTTAAATACAACAAAAGTGCATATGGAATAATTGATGTCTTGGAAGATTATAGTTTAGTTTGAATTTTAAATTTGTTCTGAGCCATGTGGAATCAGCCATATCTTTTTTATCATGCCTTTTAGCAGATAATATTTCTTCTGCAGAACAGGAAATCAAATTTTACTGAATAATTGTTGAATGTATAGTGGTTATGGCTGTTTTATTTCTAAAACTCAATCATAAGATATAAAATAAAATGAACTTACCGGTATTCAATTTCAGAATAATAAATAGTAATTTTGTTTGGTCAATGCAATACTACACTTCAGAAGAGTGGGAAAGAATAGTGTTTGCCTAGACAACTTATTTGACTGCCCCCCCCCCCTTCCCTCCCCACACATTATACCCTGTATGCGTAATCTGCACAGTTTACTCTTTGAGTGGAAATTATAAACTTGTATATTTTTTAGCATTTAATTTAGTCTTGTTCAGCACATGCAAGCAGTTTTTTTTTTGGACACATGGCATTACCGTATTTGTTCTATTAGTAGCGCATGCACTTACGTAAATTACAGTAGATTGTTTTTGGTCAAAACAAGTAATATTTAAATGATTTACCGAGGTATTCAGCCAATACATTTTTTGCTATTGAAGTGTACTTTACATTATTACAATATGCATTATTTAAATGATTTTCTCTTATTTATTTAGTTTTTTGTATCTTCTGAAATGTCAAATCAAGCATCAAGATTTCAATGAGACTGAGTGAATTGTTATTTTCTCTGGATATGGGAAATGGCAACACCCATATTTCTCAAGCCATATTAGGAACAATACCAGTATGTTGGATAAACACCATCATTTTAGAAGTGATTCCCATAACAGCAGTGCACTGTTACGTGACACCTAATCTTGTATTATGACCAGGGAGTTGTTATAATAAATTTTTTGTGAAGAAATTACTAATATAATTATATTTTTCTTCATTTTTCTCCTACACAGTATTATTAGTGATTTTTATCGTCGATTAGTGCATATTTAATACCCAACTCTCAAAAATGATCTTAATTTTTTTTTTTCATTTTGTGTATAGAAATCATTCAAGATTGATTAGATTTTTCAAAAAGTCCAGATAACAAAATTACAGACAAAATAAATGACAAGTTGGTAGGCTGAGCAAAGCAAATTAGAATGAGATATGTCTGGAATTTGGATTCATAAATTTGTACGATAATACACTTTGTGCAAAACTATGACCAAAAATTTGAAATTTGTCCACTCGAGTACTGGCTTGACGATGCTATAATCATGTTTTGTTTGTGAGATCCTGGATATATTTATTTGGTAACATTTAAGTTTCGAATATTCGCGGCAGACTTTAAATTTGATATAATTGCATAAAAATTTGATCAAGGTTGTTAAACCTGTGACATGGGTCGATTCTAGTCGGAGTATGGCCCACAACTAGTAAATATTTATGTTTGATCTGAATAAATTCATGGTGATACATTGTGCTTTGAACAAATGTTCATACACATCGTGGGTAAAACTTTGGTGATAATTTATTAACACGAGTATTAAAGTAAGTAAGTTACATGATTTGTCCAGATTATTTGGCTTGTGGTTCAGCGTGGTGATGTAACATACCAAATTTCAAATCAATCAGATAGCTGCATCAGTAAAAACTTCTTTCTGTTTGGAAAACATCCAAGATGGACGCCAAACCATGTGACTATTCATAACAAGCTTTACTTTAATGTCCTTTAAAGCTACTGTAAGACAAACAGTTTCTAGGCCCTCAGAAAGCGGTAAATATTGTCACTTTTTGTTTAACTTCAATCCAAGATAGCGACCAAACCATGTGATCGATTATAATTACTTTTCTCATAAGATATGACCAGACATATTATTTACAAAATATGAAGTTTATTGGTGGTAGCATTCAAGAGAAACAAATACCCAAACATTTGGTATTTTTGGTATAAATCCAAGATGGTGACCAGACCATGTGACTGATCTAAATTATATTAGCCATACATTGTCAACAATCTGAAATGGCTGCCAAACCATGCAACTTATCACAATTATATTTGGTTTTTCTTAAAAAAGCTATGGTCATGCATATTATATCCTAAAAATCAAAGTGATTTGTTGAAGTATTCAAGATAAACAAATGCCTAAACTTTTGGTAATTTTTTGTGAAAAATCCAAGGTGGCGGCCTCACCACATGACTGATCTAAATTGTATTATTGTTCATGTAAGAAGCTATGGCCATACATATTATATACAAAATATCAAGTTGATCAAGAAGCAGCCATCAGAAACAAATGCCCAAACTTTTTTTTTTAAATCCAAGAGTTAAACAGAAATCCAAAATGGCGGCCAAACCATGTGACCAACCATAAAATATTCTCAAACTTAAATGTGCTTCACATATAGATGCTAAAAAACAAATTTCAGATGAATGTGTTCTGAAGTAGAAGTTTTCAAAAACATGGCCGCTAAAGTTTTTATTGCATCCAATAAGGCTGCTGAACTAATTGACCAATCAAAATAATAATGATGACAAATGGGCTTCAAGCACTTGGAACTTGATATAGAGGATTATTAGCCGTCAAATCAGATATAGTAATGAAACACGCAGAAAGATCTTCAACAACAAACCAACTGTTAACTGCTGTTAATTGAACATCGAGTGGGCGTGGTCATTTATGTAACTCGATGTCCGTAACTCGAACAATTCAGCATCTATTTTCTTTCAGGGGCGGGTAACTTCAATCACGGTTCGTTGAGTCAGTCAGGAAGCCTCCTAATATCATCGCTAGAGGTCGCTCTATAAGTGAATGTCATCGTGACTTCCTAATAAGGTAGAAGTCTACTCATGAATGTAAATACCCAGAATTTATTCATTTTGTAATAAATTGTACTTCTGGGCAATATAATTGTATAAATTGTGGACTGATGACGTAGGCTGAAAAAAATATATACTAGTATATAGTGATTGGCGTAGTGTTGTGCTCAATTATTTTAACAATCAAAGTGTCAAACATGCAATTGTGTTTCATGGAATCGTTCCAAAAATAACCATGTTTGAACAAATATTAAGACAAGTTTCTCAAAATACATGCGATTTATGACCAACATTCTCAAAAATTATGAATAGGAAGTCGCGAGATAGAGAGTGTTGACCACAAGATACGTCGCCACGGTGGCCACGAGATAGGAAGTCATGGCCACGAGATAATAAGTCGTGGCCACGAGATAGGAAGTCATGGCCACGAGATAGAAAGTCGTTGCCACGAGATAATAAGTCTTGGCCACGAGATAGAAAGTCGTTGCCACGAGATAATAAGTCTTGGCCACGAGATAGTAAGTCTTGGCCACGAGATAGTAAGTCTTGGCCACGAGATAAAAAGTCGTTGCCACGAGATAATAAGTCTTGGCCACGAGATAGTAAGTCTTGGCCACGAGATAGTAAGTCTTGGCCACGAGATAATAAGTCGTGGCCACGAGATAATAAGTCTTGGCCACGAGATAGTAAGTCTTGGCCACGAGATAATAAGTCGTGGCCACGAGATAGTAAGTCTTGGCCACGAGATAGTAAGTCTTGGCCACGGGATAGTAAGTCGTGGCCACTAGATAATAAGTCGTGGCCACGAGATAATAAGTCGTGGCCATGAGATAGTAAGTCGTGGCCACGAGACAATAAATCGTGGCCACGAGATAGTAAGTCTTGGCCACGAGATAGTAAGTCTTGGCCACGGGATAGTAAGACTTGGCCACGGGATAGTAAGTCGTGGCCACGAGATAGTAAGTCTTGGCAACGAGATAGTAAGTCGTGGCCACTAGATAATAAGTCATGGCCACGAGATAATAAGTCGTGTCCATGAGATAGTAAGTCGTGGCCACGAGATAATAAATCGTGGTCACGAGATAGTAAGTCTTGGCCAAATATCAGAAACTTGAAAATGACATTCATTTTAAATCAAAACACAATTATTAGGTTCAGGCAACCATGGATGTACTAGTACATCCATGAAGCCAACTTAAAGATACAATCTCATCATAAGAAATCTTGCTCAATGATTACAATATCGGCGTTTGGCATGGCGTCACGTTGGATTTGGATGGCACTGCAAGGGAACGTTGGAATAGCTGAATACAATTTCATTCATAATTGTATGCAAGTCTGGGTGTAAATTTAATTTCTCTCAGATCACTTTCAACAAAATCTATTTGCCCACAGAAAAGCCAGCGATTTCGACTTGAACCGCGCCTGCTCTTCCGATCCGATCCGATCGGCAGCATTCCAAGTTTGTTTTGCGAATTCGAAAATCAATTTTCAAATTGAAGGTTCTTTCAGAAACAGGGGAATTATCAGAATGTATATGGGAAAACATATACTCATTAAAATAAAATAAAATAATCAATTAAAATGTACAATTATATCCATAATGAACCTTACAATTGAGACGAAAGTTCGAAGTCATGTCTTATGGGGGAATTAAATAAAAACATTACTATTCGAAGATACTAAGCTCATCGTGTCATCAACAATATTGTTACAACAGACCACCCTATGATGATAAAAAAAGTTCAGTTATTTAGTGCCTCTACCCATAATCCTCCGTATTCCATTTAGTTATTATGTCGTGATACCAGGTACTAATTTCGGTCGGGTTAAACACCGACGAATAGATCGTCAAGCCCCTGTGGTCCTGCGGGACGGTGGTTTACGCAACTGTTAACGTTTCAAACCCCAGTCGTACACAGAAGATGTTACTCCTTAATTCCTGTATAGTGCCGCCCTTTCTAAACATCACGTGACACCTCAATCTACTTTCTATACATCACGTGTCCTCTTAGTCTACCAATCAGCGTCGTTCTTGGACAGGTTCCTACATGCAGTGTTCATGCACAGTCCCTCTATATATCGACTCTATACAGAGACTGTGGTTCATGATAGAACATTTCTATCTGCTTAAAACTAGCTCCTCGTATACATAACAAAACTCGTTTAACCGTGCGATCTGCGAGGCTTGTATCGGAACAACTTTATACGAACACAAACTGACAATTTTGACAGAAGATTGTGGTTGCAAAATATTTACGTCGATTTTACTAGCCACCCAGGTAAGGGCGTGTTTTTTATTTCTGTTGACAATTGTACCTTGTTATAAATTCTACAATTTCCCCTCTCTATACTAAATTAACTGAATGTAATACAGTATGAGTTTTAACTGATCCAGTGTGTCTGTAGTGCTATATTTCTTTTGAAAAACAGTTATGTGTTTTGTCCATACCGTTCCGCATGCTTACCTATACGCGAAACCGATATAGAAACATCATGGCGGACCACGTCAGACAAAACTATCTTTGCTGCTTCTTCTTCTTACAAAACGTTATAAAAAAATTATAAAACTATTCAAATACCGACTGTTAAAAAACATTGATATATCTTCTGTGAATAGCGAGTATTGTTATGACGAACACTTAATCTACGAATTAAAAAAACTATTTTTTCCATCACAGCTAGCCGGTGTATTTTTAAAACTCAAACAACGGCTGTACATGACGTGTATGTATCAGCTTAATTGCAAATATATTATAAAACAAAAATTAACCATACGTTATTGGAAGGTTATACATAACTTACAACTACATATTCGGTATTGACACAATCCAACCTAGGTGGACTTTCTTTCTTTGTTATTTTAAGGTGATCACACTCTTTAATGCGCATAGTAGGAACAAGTTGTAACATGATTCCAGTGCTATCTGTTATAAAAGAATGCCGCCATTAGTCGTCAATGTCTGTCAATATGCCGCGAGTTTCTATTCTAAATCACTCACAATTCCACGCATAGTATTGCGGCCTTAAATAGACACACACTGATAGATATATTGTGTCTGTTCCATTCTGAACCCAGTGATATCAAATGTATTAAAACAGCGTTACAAACATGGACATTCAATTTAAAATTAATTAATCGATTTCTATTAGATTTTCATTACTTTTGTTCAGTATCCTAGCATCCTTCTGTCGATATTTTATCTGTTACCATAACGCCCGTGATATCAATTAATCAACTCTCCCCCTAATTTGTTGCGTTCCTTTGTGTCAGTATTGTACGACATACAGCGTATACCTTTATATTTAGGCCCTTCCTGCTGTGTGTGTGTAAACGATACGTTCTGTTCGCGGTGTAATTAAGTAATATCTATTGTTGACGGGTTTAAAATGAGTTTTCTTGCCAGAAATGGCAATTAAAAACTCACATAACATTTGAAATCGATCAAACATCACTTCTGTTCATGAATATACGTGGTCTTCGTTCAGATAGCAGCATTTTATCATAATTTATTTGAAACGAAATTGTGCTCTGACTCAGAATAAAAATAATGACACACTATCGAAATTGGTCTCAACATTGATCACGGTAACATGGGATATTTTGGCATCAGATAATCAATTTAATTCACGGGTGAATAGTATCCCTGGTGAACAGGCAAATCTCGATTAAAATTTGTTAAAGAACTCTCCACGGAATAAACTAATATATAGACTGAAACAGCCACTCCCGTTGTGAACATTCATCGCCCCTGCTGCTCGCTTGCCAATTCATTGCCTATGTTCTGCAAATAGAATGTAATTCAGACACGGAATTAGTAGTTATAATCGAGCAAACGATCTTGTATTTAATTTTTGAAGGACGGCCGATTTTCACCTTTAATTTTTTTATTTCACGATCGACGCATGGAATCGAGAGTACTGAACGATTATGAAGAAATGAAAGCCTGTGATATAATTTTACTGCAAACTATGTTTATGATGTTTACGTTACTAATAATTTATCTTCTTTCTTTCATAGAATAAATAAACATGGCTGACAACAAACCCATGTCCAAAATTATCCAAAATATTGATGAAGTCATCAAAAAATGGGCTCTGAAAGGAAAGGACAACCAGGATAAGTACGTTGTGGAAATTGTTAAAAATGGTCTGGAATTCATGCAAATCGGTGAAATAAATTATAAAGCCGTGAAAAAGATGGTTCCGTGTCCAGATAATCCAAATGAGTATATTCCGAGTGGAGCCGAGGCCGGGGAGGCCACTCCTAACACGTGTACGCGCACTGTACATACCACGTCGTTCGTAAACGCTACATCTGCAGCGGAACAAAAACACCATTTCCGGGTTGAACGCACTAATACCACTTGCTATAGTTGGTCGATGAGCAGCGGACACACCTTCAGTTCTCGGGCGGGCATTTCTCTAACGCCCCCAAACGCGTGTATAGAAGCGAGCGTGGAGTTCGGAAAGACGACGGAGGAGTCGACGGAAGAAGTAAACGCATCTGAGAAAACACGGACAAACGTCATTGAATGTGACGTAATCGTCCCGAAAGGGAAGCGGGTGAATGTGAACTTGAACATCACCGAGGAAGACTTAATCGCGAAATATGACGTAGAATATCGTATTGAAGGGGAAGTAACTGTTATTATTAAGAAAGGGGAGAAAATAGACTCCGATCGGCATGGCCAAGCTCAGGATATCTTCCGCGGTATGGATGGCTTCAAGGTATTTCCCAAAACAGAAAAACGGAAAGGTTTCGCTAAATTTATTAACAAGGGTATTTTTATGTCGAAAAGAGAAATAAGACAAGAATTGGAAATGAGAGACGAAGATTTATAATTTGAACTGATCATGGCGGTCGAGATCACTTCTCTCAGGCCGATTTGTTTGATCATAGATAGAAGAGGTTTGACCGTAACTGTATGTTTGTTTGTTTTTTATAAAAGGATAGAAACAGTTATCATGAATTTAGTACACTGCCATCAATATTCGTCACTGGCAAAAATTCCAGTACCGACATTACAATTTCATTCAATCCAAACACTGTGATAACGACTTTCCGTTTTCGACATTGTGAAATTCTTCCGTTTTTATGGAGTATACCGTATTTTTACGAAATAATATCATACATGATACACATATTTCGCAATTCCATTTAGCTGCTCTCAGTTATAACTCAAGACAAATGAAATAACAAGTTTATTTTGATTTTTATATTCACGTGTAATCGTGTAATATGAAATACATTTCGTTATGAAACATTCTTAATATATTTCTGAATTCACTTGTCACAATATTTTTTTTTCCAAAAAAAAAAATAAATAAGAAAATAAGTGGAGGGATTTCAGAATGTCGAAATCGAAAAGTCTTTATCGTAGTGCTCCCAGATACTGTTCATGTTGTAAACTCATCGACTTATTTTACACCCTCTCCCAGTTGAAACTAGTAAAACAATACAGCAAAAGTTTATACCCATGCCCTGCCTCAGATAACTATATATTACAATGACTGGGAAAATATCAATTTACTGAAATTATAGAAAGTGATTTACTATTACAATGAACCACCATATTGCAATAACTACTCCATGCTATTATCTCAATATGTTCTCACGCTGACTATTGTTCTTAGCAGCGTGTCTACAATCACGTGTGACTGTCTTCCTATTTGACCATGACAATCTCTATGATATGCTTCTGACTACGCACACACGCATCCTACATGTGTACTGAAAATAGTGATCCTAGTATAACGTAATAAATAAATGGTGCTATGAAATATTATGTTTGTCACGTGTCTGTATGAATACATTAATTCTTACATACGAATACTACTGTAATATATTTTATACCATTGTACATGACTGTTAACTCTTAATGGTTAACAATTGATTACAATCGAGGTTTGTAAAAAAAAAAAATATTCCATCGATATTTACATTGCATGTTTGAAATTAGCCTAACATGTAGGCGTGAGTGGCGCCCTCGCCGGTTTGCAGCACCGCGGAGGGCGCAACTCACGCGAACTTTTCAGGCTATTTTGGAATTGAATAACGACATTACAATGGATATGTACGACTAGTATGATTGTTCAGTTTTACAGTATATATTCATTGCCTTACATGCTCACATTTGAGTGTGCACACAATCTGAGCTCATAGCGAAGTTACAACTTACCTGAAATCTGGCCACACAATATTTGTATACAGACTGCGTAGTGGGGACACATACTAAGTGTTATTACTACGAAATTATAATTTCGCCTTAACTTAATGTTCGTTTCGTTTTGCCCTGTCTATTGCTCTTTTCATTGATTAATGTGTGATTGGCGGTACCCAATGACATTAGAAACAGTGGGTTTAGAGCTATAAAACAAATCGTCGTTACTCGTACGCGCATATCCCACAATGCAATGTAACAAGTATTGTAAAGGCGCGCCTCTAAACAAAAATCCCGAATCTGTCCATGAGTGCTGTGACAATGGTTATTTCAGGATTCAATTGTTAAATTTTCATTTTCGAACCGTGTTGGATATTAGTTTGTGTTCGAAGAGCCGAAGAGATAATTTGTTTAATAAGTCACATGTCAAAATTATTGCGTTTCATTGCATAAGAATATTATGTATAAATGTTCTTATGAGATCATAACAGATAGCCCAGCTGTATTCATCCAAATGGCCAACTGAGGTAACCTCTCGCTGTTTCTTTCTATCTTCTCTCCTCCTCTTACAAAATCTTACAAATGCTACAACAACTTTAAGGCGTGGCAGAGTATAATGCGACCGGCCAATCGCTGCATCATTGGCGCGAGTACCAGGGATGTGTCTCAAGGTTAAAACAATGCAAAATTTCCACTACTGAATACCGTAAACAACCTATTTATAAAAAAGTTCTGGTATATATGTTGATAATGTTTACTTTAAACATGCAAGTAAATAATACTGCAACGTCATGTGAACCAAATGTGCGTACATGATGTCATTATACAATACACTCTAATTTCGCGAATGTTGCAACGATCGGCCGTCTATAATGGGATTCGATAAATTGATAGAATTGCTGTTTCTGGTTGGTAGTGATACCGCCGTGAAGGTAAATGTAACTATTTAATGACTAACTCACCCAACAAAAAACCCGATTGCATTGCGCCCTGCGTGTGGGGTGGGGGTGTGGGGCGTGAATCATGCCTGAGAATTTAAAAAAAATATTGAACACGGGAGAAATTGTCCATCGAACAAATCCACGCATGTGCGGCGTTTTCAACCGTACAGTGTGTATTGGCTAATACAAGCATTATCATAACATTATCATATCGAGTGGCCCCCAACGATATGAATAAATTTACATAACATTAGTTTAGTATCCACCGAAGAAACGCAGAGCTTCTATTTGATCGATTTTTTGGCGGATATACCGTGGTCAGTCTTACTGGTGTTACGTCTATAGGGTCAACAATATACCACATCTATGTACAGCGTTGATGTTCCATAGTAAACAACTGACGAAGGCGGAACATATTGGAGAGGTGATAATAATTTGCAGGTGTGTGATCTGCGCATGCGCAGTTTTTAGTGACTATATACACAATATACTAGTATATGTATTTGCGTTTAGTGTGGTAGTTATTCATGAAAAATATTGATGTACGTAATATACTAGTACATGATTCGATCCACCATCACTGTGGTGCCAGATTCCCCGCAATATGCGTTCGGGTATGCGTTGATAATGCACGAAGAGGGCGGGTTTGAACAAGGATGACACGCCATATTTGGATTATTTTCACTTCATTTTTAATATTTGTTTTATTTTTTATCGTTTACCCAAGCTACTTTATGTAATCATGAAGTCATTGCGGCCATGTCGAAGGTGTTAACTGAATACGGTATGTCCCACAATTTATTTTCATATTTGCATTCTGCAATATACGATTGAAATTAATTCCGGTCCTTTTTTAGATACTTATAATGATCGTCGATAAACTGTGCACAATGTAGTAATATATTCGTCTTGCTGTGTTACAACAGCGTGACATCACCATTTTGAGAACTTGGGATAATCAAATACAGTTGTCTTTGGTGTAAATAAAATGTAATGCATTTGCACAAACAGCGCCACCTAGAGTCTACCTGTAACGACGTTCTTCAAAATATAAGTTCATTTGTATACACACCATATAATGCTATGTCATTTAAAATAATTTATTGCTGGGCGGAGTGGTCAACGGAGTGATGAAGCAACTAATAATCCAGGTAACATGTATCGCTCCGCTGAATTCCAGAATCGTCTTTGAGATGATTTTCTGTCTGCAATGACCGCTATACACACACAAAAGTCACAATTTACCGAATATGCTCAATTTACCTTGAAAATCAATCCAGCTATCGTTTCCCATGATGGTGATCAGTAAAGAGCTACCACGTGACTCAGCTCAGGAAGGGGTGTAACTACCAGTATATATTATAGGGGCCATTATATACGTAGACTCGTTATCACCTAGATGTGACGTCACTGTGGTAATATATCGGAACATGTGTGTGATATGGTACACCGGACTACTTTCATAGTTAAATTAGTTGGTGATGTTTTGAAACATAAACAGAATGTACTATACAAAAAAATACAACGGTATCGTTGTTCAGTGCATTTCTATATACCAAGAATTTCCCATCGGCTGCCCGGCGTATGCCCACCAGTTAAATAATAACACATGCTTGTGAGGGTAATATCACGATTTGTTGCCTGCCAAGGGATGATGGTCATGACCA